ATGATGGCTGTAGAGAGGTCTGGGCCACTTAAGGAATACAAAAGGCCAATACCAACAAATGGCACAATATTTTCAAGGTCATTCAGGTGGGCCCTGTGGAAAAAGATGACTAGTAAAACACTAATTGTAAAATGAGCAGAAATATATTCATTTTTTCCTATCTTCTGAAACTAAATGCAAGTTTTAATGGGTCTTAAAAATACAAAGTAAGACTCATTTTATTTCTCTCAAACTGCCTTGTTTTTACCCACTTGGCTTTTATTTAGAATGTCTTATTTTTGCTTCCTTTTGTTTTTAGTGCATCTCAACATAGAACAGAGAAGGCATTTTGAACTTTCAAGGATATTAAAACTGCATCTATATAATAAAACTCATGTCATTTCTGTAGATATGAAATACTTTTCCTTCCAGAGTTCATACAATAGCAAGTTAACATTTTTCTTATAAAATATCTTTCTTAAGACTCCACCCTCACTTTTACTAGTCTTCAAAATGGTTCCTGAGATAATCCTTGCTCATTCACCCAAACCACAGGTTGCCAAGAATTAATTTACCAACTTAATATCAAGAATCTCATGCTCTCAACATCCAAATAACAGAATAACAGGAATATATAACAAGCCTAACTAAATATGGGTAAGGTTTTAGCCAATCTATCCTCAAATTACAAAAGGAATTAGCTAAGTAAAGAAGCAAAGTAGAAACTATACACAAAAAAGATAGACAACAGAAAGATATGTTTTTAAATTTTATCTTTATACCACAGCCAGAAGAAAACACAAAGCATGGTTTAGCCACAGGTTTTCCTCCAATTCATGAGACCTTGGCTTCTCTGGCTAGGAGTGTGAATACAAGGCACATCTATTATTGATTTGATACTTTTTAAAGTACTTAATTTTAAAATCTCATGTTCCTGTTTAAGTCTCCTGAATTAAAAATTGCTTTAGAATCTAGAGTAGAAATTGAGATTTTGATAGCGTTTATCAGATATCAATACATATTTTAAAATGAAAAATATTTG